GTCAGACGCGATGGAATTTTAAATCTCGGTTTGTTTTCACTGTAGCAAATTTTCGTGAACAGCTTTTGAAAGTTTTTGATTTTATTATTGAATGTGACGATTTTGAAAGTGATGATATCTCGATCCATAAAGCAATCGGTTTGAAAACTTTATTAAATGATTACTCTTTTAACATACTTTTAAATATTTTTAAGAAAGTGTTTACCCAAACCGATTTGATATTCAATGTTGTTCAAAATCAGTTAACTGACATTATTCATTCCAAAAATAGAATAACAAGACTGGTGCAAAATCTCAGTCAGATTTTCGTAATGATAGTAATTTCCAGTATATACGCAGTGACGTTTTGGACTCGCTTGATATTTCCGAACCTCCCAAAAAAAAAATAAAGGCATGGCAAAGAAACAGATCTCGAAAAACGAGTACCTATATTTTGAAATTTTGGATAATATTATTATGCAAATAGATACTCGTTTTTCGAATTTTGAAGATTTGCAAATTTTTGACCTCTTTGACGATTCAAAATTTAAAAGTTACGCCAAAGAATTTCCAAGATATTTATTAGACAGGTTGATTAAAAATTATCCATCATTCTTTAATAAAATAAAATTAGAAAATGAATTAAAAGTTTTATATGCTGATCCAAATATTTTCGGAAGATGGGATAAGTTACAAGATATGTATAATTTTATATATTGCAATTCATTACAACAAACTGTTACCGAAATTAATAAATTATTTATTGAGAAATTATAAAGTTCTGGAACAAAAATGGAGATTTGATGAACAAAATGAAACACGTGTTTACTCTATGACTGTAATTTTGCTACTACCCTAAAAAAGGAAAGTGATAAATTATTCAACTAGTAAAGTAGCCAATAGATGACACTGCTAGAAAATATTCAAATTTATTTATCTATATCCAACATTATTGTCATTAATTCTCTCATTACCACCAACGTCTGCCTCAAATGAACGAGATTTCTCTTGCCTCAAAAAAATAAAAAATTATTGTCGAAATACCATGAAACAAGAGAGAATGTCAAGCTTGTCTCAAATGTCAATAGAAAAAAATCTCTTCAAAACTCTAATAAATTTTACGATGACGTTATTACCCATTTTGCTACTTCCAAACAACGTAGACTAGAGTTAATTTAACATGTTTAGGTACTAAATTTAAAGGAAAAAACAAAAAAAAAAAAACAAAAAACAAGAAAACAAAAAATCTTCTATGATGATTGAAGTCTTTATTGGACGGTATACCTATCTGTGGAGACAAAAAATACCTTGCCGACCTTGTCTCTCAAGCCACGAGCCGCCACTGCCACCCGCAATTAGATAGATTGTCGGTACGACGTAGAAATAATTGCTCTTTAATATTTACATAAAGTTGGAAAACTGTCTCACATAAACTGTGAAAACACCGTCCAATATACATTTTGTTATGTGCTTAATCTAGTGTATTTTCCCTTTCATTTCGAAAAAAATTTCAAATTGAAAGAGGAAGCCACTGGTCGCTGTAGGATTTCCTTTGTTAAAGCCTAATCTTCAAAACATATAACATGAAATAGCGATTTTGAGTTTTGGGAACAAATGTAATGCATTTCAAATATGCCCAATAAAGGCTGAATTTAAACATTCAGATCACAAACGATCGCACATCACGAGAAATGCTTTCAGGAAAACGGTATTAGGTGGAATTTATAGCTAAAGTTGCGAAGTTTCTAAAAACCGTGCAATCGAAAATAAGCAGTTCTAAACATTTTGATTTTTTGTAATGTGAACGTTTAAATTCAGCGTTTTTAGGCATCCAGCATTCAGGAAGTGATGCGATCATCATCCACCTGTCAATGAAGGTGAAGTGTGAAGCCTCATCCACCGATCAATGAAAGTGATGCGATCATTTAAAATCGCCGGTTGCTTTAACCGTGGTTTCTGAGAGAACGGTTCATTCTACAGAAAAAATGCTAATAAACAGTTTTGTACAAAATTATCTTATCTACATTTCTTGTTTAAAACATTTTCTTCTACGTCGTACAGATTCTGGTTAAATCGATGCTCCCACTTGGGTTGGATTTTATGGGGAAGCCCTCATACGGACAGGAGTGGCCAACTTTGTGCATCTTTTTTGGTCCCAAATTGACATTCTCAGCAAAATTCAGCTTGTTCTTGTGGTTTTTAGAGGTTCAGTCAGTTCAGTGGCATTTTCGTCTCTGACGACTGGAGAATAATAATACACGTTTTATACAATATCGTCTTATTCTAAACCAAGGATTTTCCAGTTAAATTAGTTATATATACTCATACGTACTGATTGGTGAATCGCCAAACGGGCCATAGGAAATTCAATGGGTGTTTGGGAAAGTATATGCGAATTCATTTCATATTTTTACAGTTAATATTTTTTCTGTTACGGTACTGTAATGTGATCTAATTTAGTGCTGTATTTTAAAGACCTTTTTGAAATATATTGTTTCCTGTTGTCTTTCGTAAAACTTAAACTGGCTATGTCATTTGTCATGTTGAAGTACGCAGAATTTGGCTTTTTCCTTTGTATTCAAGATAAAGATTCAAATACAAAGATCGAAACAAGTGGTTGATTTATGGCATGCCCGGCCTACGAGATGTTGACCATCCAACCAGAGAGTGGTTTGTGCCCGAGACGTTCTCAAACCCTCAAGATTGGCACTTCTTCGTAACACAGTGAACGAAACGCACCACACTTGACCGGTCTCGTGTTAATTAGACTCGGCGTCCCAGGCCGCGGCGTCGTGATGCCCGGCGACCAACTCTTCAGCCTGTTACGAATACCTCAATAGAACCAAAGGGTAAGCCCATAGTTCTCTGTACAAAACATTGATAATGAGTAAACCAGTTAATTCCGTAATTTATTTACAATTTATAGTTGCTATTTTCGCTAATTTTATGTACAAACAAATACAGCATTTTTCGTTATAATTATTTATCTGATATAATTTAACCAGCGACCTCTCAAGTTTAATCCTAAACAATGGGAAATTCTAAATTGTTGAATTCCTGCTTCCCTAATTCTTGTACATCAAAAATCATAAGAAACTATTTGTAGAGGGCTAAAATATGTATTAAAAGCAAATGTTAAAATTGTTCTACGAATTAAATGTATTCCAAAAGTTTGTAAAAATATAATACGTTTTTCAGACCTGACGAGGTACAAGAATGTGTATGACATGTTGCGTTTGGCCATATTGATGATTCTTATATTTGACAATATTTGAATTGTCAAGATTTTTATTTTGTGATTAAATTATACACAAATAGTAAAAGACGCAAATGTTCATAAATACTACTACTACTATGAGTGAACAATACATAGGACTTTGTAAACAATAAATTATATTGTTTACAAAGCAATAAAATTGATGAAATGTATTCAGTTCACGAAAAATCAGATCAGATCTTTATTTAACACAAGATATCATAATACACTCAAATTTAATTCTAGGTTATACAACAATTTTCAATATAGTTTTACTATGATCCTTCTTAATATTAATTTATGATAATTTCTAAAAACAATATAAAAACTATAACAAATGTTCAAACAATAAGCCATTTTGTACTAAGCAATATCCCACTCAATTGTAAAATTCTCGTCTAAAATGTAAAACATTAGCAAGAATGCGTGGTGTTATTTTTGCACACTCTTCAATAATTCGCATTTTTAATTCTTCAATATCTGTAAATTTTTGGTCAGAATAGATTTTTGATTTTAAATGCTCCCAGATAAAATAATCGTTTGGTTTGGTAATTACAGTCAGGTACAATCAAACAATTATTAAAGCTGTTTTTAAGGAATTCCGTAACCTCCCAGTTATTACGCACAGGGTAGCCATCCATTTGAAACCAAATTTCTTCTTCATTTGGAGCTATTTCTGTAAGACTGGGTAAAATTTCTTCTTGTAGCAAGTCTAGAAACTTTTTTGTATTTAAATTTTCGTCAATAAAAAATGGTCCAATAATATTGTGTCTAAATATTCCTAACCAGACATTTATTTTTCGACGATACTGGGTATGGCTTTCCATAATATCCTCAAGCTTTTTTGTCGACCAAATCTTATAATTTTGAACATTTGGTTTATTTATTTATGTAAATGTACATTCATCACTAAACAAAATGTTTTTTTAAAAATTGTCTGTCTGCCTTTTCTAACATTTCATAACAAAATTCCGCTCGTCGCTCAGCACCACCTTCTCTTAGTTCTTGATGAAATTGAAAGTTATATAAATGGAATTTATTACTTTTCAAAATTTTTAAGGCCATAAAGTTATGAATATTAAACTGGTCTGCAATAGTCCGAGAACTTATTCTAGAATTTTCTACAACTGCTGTTAATACATTTATTTCATTTTGATTTTCTAAATTTTTTGGTACCTCAGCAATATTGTTTGTACAGGTACAATTAGAAATCACGATTCCAGTATTTTCAAAATTTTGTAAAATCCTTTGGATTTGGAATTGGTCTATTGGGATATCTTACGCTAAATAAAGAACGGACAATTCGCGCACTATTGCCTGAATAAAACATTTTTATTATTGATACTTTCTCCTCAACTGAATACTTTCTCCTCAACTGAATACTTTTTTTAAATAATTCACAAAATTAATATTTTGATAATTCAAATATTGTCAAATATCAGAAACATAAATATGACCAAATGCAACATGTCATGCACATTCTTGTACCTCGTGTGGCCTGACTTTAAGGGGTGGCCTGAAAAATGTATTATATTTTTACAAAATTTTGGAACACATTTAATTCGTAGAACAATTTTAAAAATTATTTTTAATATATATTTTAGTACTTTACAAATAGTTTCGTATGAATTTTGATGTGAAATAATTAGGGAAGCAGGAATTCAACAATTTAGAATTTCTCGTTGAATTTCCTATAGCCCGTTTGGCGATTCACCACCCTGTATACCGTATAGGTTAGCTCAGATATTTACAAAAATATTTTCAGAAATGAAGCATCTTCTGTCGCAGTAGCTGGAGGTATCATAAGAGGAACAAAAACATTCCAACAGATCCATGCTGCAAAACGTATATACACAAATAAAGACATTTTTTCAATTGTTTTCCTGAAAGACAAAAGCGAGGAGACTGACTTTAATGCTTTTTCCTATGTTATTGTAGGAGATGACTTGTCCAAAGATGAATTTGCTGAAAAGTTATTAAAGGTAGGAAAATTGTGTTTTCATAAAAACTTGCAACTACATATCAATGGCCTTATTCCAAAAGTTGGTAACTAGATCAGGCCGGATTTATTTTGAGGTGGATGTGAGAAGTGGTAATAATAATAATTGACTCATCCTCCTCCTCAAATAGATCGGAATATTATTAAAAAACTTAAAATATTTTAAAATGGTTACAGACATCGCTCGTTTTTTACTTTCTTTGACTGGTTTAAAATGTTTTCATTTATTAATAATAAAAATTAATAAAAAAAGGGGGAAACAAGCTAGTTTTTATTTAATATTTTTAAACCACTTATATTGCACTTAAAATCTTAGTAATTGGCTTAGAAACTCTTTATGATATAATAAAACAGTCCACCAAGTGTCTTCTGTTTTCTTCAAAGTCTGTGCTTCTTGCTACGACAGGTTCTTGGTATATGAATATTTGTTTTGTCCCTTCCCTGGCAAGTAGGTCCGCCCTCGGAGTTAATCCGATTCGATTGCAGTGCCTTTAATACCATCTGGCTATCAGATATAATTTTTATAGGTTTGTCCGTAAAGTTCATCGTGATAGGTTCCTGTGGGCACATCTCTACAGCATAAATTGCCGCTTGAAAGATAGTAGATTGATTACTTGGGCTTTCATTAAGGTTGAGCTTTGGTTTCCCTCCATATACCCGATTCCTAATTCGTTCATCGGTTCTAGAGCTATCTGTTATACCAATATTGAATTGCCATTATAAGATTCTTTTTATTCGACTCCCATTATTGACCCTTCCTGGAAAGAGCAAAGTAAACGGCTTTTCCAAATTATATTTAGGTTGCATTACATCTAGTACCATTTATAACTCTGGGTAAATATTAATTATCTCTCCAGATTTGATTTCGGTATCCTTTTGCCTTTAGCACATTATGATTCACCTTAAAAACTAGTAATTGAATTTGCTCACTTAACCTGACATTTAACAGGCAAGTTCGAAGTTGGTAAGTTTAAGCCTGCCGATAAGGTCTTTATTATCTTACAAATCTAGCATGAAATAAAAGACGACTAATGCTACGAAAAAGGATAATGAGACTGACCACATGGAATATTCTAAGTCTACGGACCAAGCAAACAGCAAACAAAAAAGGAAATGAAATAAGTGAGTATATGCATCTATGCAGCGGCGTTGAAAAAGTAGTGAGAGCAAAAAGAGGGGGTTCCTCTACTTTTCGCAAGAGACTCAGAAAATCATGAAAGGCTGGGAGGAACTAGACGAGCAAATAAGACGCTAAAGTGAAGAGAAAAAATGAATTTTTAAGAAGAGACGTTCATATAAATATAAATCAGAACAAAGACATTTGCATACTAGCAGACTTTAACTCCAGAGTCGGAAGAAAAGAAACCAATCCCATATTGGGAAATATGGAGAAGAAAAAGTAAATAACAATGGTGAACGACACTCAAACGGATGCCAAAGCTTAGACTTAAAAGGTTATTAATAGATTTTTCCAGCACACATAAATCCTGAAATTTACATGAATACAACCAAAGAAGAAACTGCAATTAGTTATTCACTCAGCCATAAAAAACAAATGACATGAGGGTCTATCGTAGAGCAGAATGTGGATCTGATCATTACATGTTAGTAGCTATTGGACAAAAGCAGAAAGGAAAATCCCGAATGGATCACAGATAAGATAAAAGAAACAGTAAATCGAAACAAAAAGACATATATTATTTCGTTAAGAACAAAAGATCCAGAAGACAGAAAAACCTATGTACCACTTAACAAAAAAACCAAAAGAATGGTGCCACAAAACAAAAATTAACACTGGGAACAAGAATGTGAAAATCTAGAGAGATATCTAGGAAGTAGTAGAGAAACTCAAGCCTGAGAAATTTATTTAAAAAGTACAAAAAGGAAGGAAGAAAACATGAAATATAGACCTAATCCAGAACAAGAAGTGGGAGCCTCATTACAAGCAACTGCTAGCAGAAAACAGGAAAGAATTTCTGGGAGAAATTTACGTTAACATTAACATTAATAAAAAAAGAGGCGATACAGTTAATAAGTAAAAATGAAATTAAAAAAATGAGAGAAATTAATAACGGTAAACTTCCAGAACCTGGAGACATTCCCATTAAACTAGCGAAATAATGGACCAGACACTATTCTGGTTCAGCTATCTATTATTCATATCCGCTTCACACTTTCTGAATATTCTTGCATGGATAACATTTAAAAATGTTTTTAATAATTGTGACATTAAGCTGATTAATCTATAGTCATTACAGTGTTTGGGATTCTTGGTTTTTGGTGGCGGAATAGAGGTCGATAATAGCCTTATCGTAGATATCTCACCAGATTTGTATCTAAATTGATATAAGGTTGAATGCTCGAATAAATGAACTTTAATAAAATGAAAGGCAGATATCGAGCACAATTTTATTAATCAAATCTTGTCCAAGTACTATCGCTTTTTAAAGCATCACCAGGGGCATTTCGTCAATTTTGGGCTACCCAACAAGCGCAGAATGTAACCTAACCTATCCAACTAGCGTAGAATGTATTAAACATGAAATTAAACATAAACTTGTACATAACACTACAATAAATAAGGACAAATAGTTTAAAATTATTTAAAAATTAGTCGAAGCTACAGTCTTGTCGGCAACAAGAGAGAGAAATTCTCTTGACAAAATTAAGTCAGTCTGTCGGCTCTAGCATTTCTTGTTCATAACCGATAATCAGCTATTATATTTTCCTTCTGCTTAACGTGCCCTATCAAGTTCCCTTGACATTGGCGATTGACATGGCGAAACTGTCTCTGTCTCGAGCTATTCTAAAGAGTTGCTCAGCTTTCTTTATTCCTGTCCACTCTCTGATATTTTTCAACCAAGAGGCCTGCTTTCTACCAATTCCTCTGCGTCCTTCGATTTTACCCATAATAATAAGTTGAAGAATATTATATCGGTCTCCCCTTACTACGTGTCCAAAATAGGCCATCTTTCGACATTTGATGTTATCAAGCAGCTCGCGAGCAGCATTTGCTCTCTCAAGGACTGCCACATTTGTCAGCATAGCCGTCCATGGAATTTTTAGTATACGTCTGTGCAGCCACATTTCCAAGGCCTCCAGACGATTAATGGTGGATATTTTTAATGTCCATGCTTCGACACCGTATAAGAGGACTGACCAAATGTAGCATTTAACCATACGCTTTCGAGGTTGAAGTTTCAAGTTATCATTACAGAAGAATGACCTCATTTTTAAAAATGTCGTACGGGCTATCTCGATTCTACATTTTATCTCTTGATCTGGATCTATTTGTTCAGTAATATGGCAACCAACATATTTAAAACTGGACACTCTTTGAATTATATGACCATCAACATATAATCGTGCATCTTGAAGTGTCTGTTTTAATTGGCTATAGAATGATTCGACATCATTATCATATTTCTTTTCTGCAGTAGGGGCATATATCTGGATAACATTGACATTAAATGGTTTGTTTGTTAAATTAAATAGTTTTATATTTTCCACTCGGACTTTTCATATTTTTGCATTTAGATCGCCTATTATTATTGTAATTTCTTCCTTCCTTGTGTATTGTAAAAGTTGTTTTGAGTTGTTCATTAAAATGTTCTATTTCAGCTTCTGATTTATCTGCAGTTGGAGCATACTTGCACTATATTAATATTCACTGGGAGACACTATGTTACTAAAACTATTCAACCAAGCGCTCAATGGTATATTTAAAAAACTAAACTGGGAAAACTGTGGTATTAATATAAACGGTGAATATCCATGGTACAAAGAATAACAGGTATGATACTCCCGAGCGCAAAATTTGGACGAGTTCGCGCATTACGTCACAATGAAAGTGATTTTAAATATTCCCCGTAAGAACGTTAGCAATCGGAATGATTAATAGAGTTTCCATTAAACTATTTTGGATTTATTGAAATATAGGGTTTTATTATTTTTATTGAAAAAAATAATAAATAAAACAGTGAAAAAAAAAATAAATCTGTAAAATAAATTTGTAAGATTTTTTGTGTTTGTCGCTTTTTAATTATAGAAAGTTAACCTTCGTAAATTTTTTAATTCTAAAATACATTCGAGATCGGAAAAACAAATGTTTGGTTTTGTAGTCACATTCAATTTTCTCCGATAGATCAATTAATCTTTGTAAATAATTTTTCTCTGTCTTTAATTGGTGGTTAGATCTCTCGAAGTTATTAAAAATAATATTCATGCATTCATCATCACACTCATACACAAGTTCATGCACTTTGTACCCTCTTTAATGGCAGATTAGAGGATACACAAAGAACAGTACTAGGCTCGGGCTTCAATCTGGTAGAGGTATCTTGGTTGGGGCTCTTATTACAGCTCAAATATAAAGAATCAGTTAGAGAAGTACTAGAAGAAGACGTATTGAAATTGTCAGGTCTACCTTTATAAAAATGAAAAAAATATTTTGTAATCGGTATATTAGTATTCATCTACGAACTAGAATGTTAAAATGTTATGTATTTAGTACTTTGCTTTACGGTGTTGAGGCATGGACTCTTAAACAGAGGAATATTAAAAATCTTGAAAGCTTTGAGATGTGGTGCTACCGCCGTATACTAAAAATAAGTTGTGTGGATAAAGTTACAAATCAAGAGGTAATACGCAGAATAAATAACGATCCAGAAGTTATCATGAATATAAAAAAGAGAAAACTTGAATACTTAGGCCACCTGATGAGAGGACAAAAGTACACATTCCTACAAAATATAATGCAAGGAAAAATCCAAGGACGCAGAAATCCAGGCCGTAGAAGAATGTCCTGAATGAGAAATTTAAGAGAGTGGTTTGGCTGTACCACTAACGAATTATTCAAAACAGCGTTAAATAAAATTAGAATCGCCATAATGATATCCAATCTCCGATAGGAGAGGTACTCAAAGAAAGAGAAAAAAGAGAAGTATTGAAGATACAGAGGCGAGAAGTTAGAAGAGAAGAGAA